CGTTGCTTAAAGACCATCTCTCCCTTTCCCCTCCCGCAAGTCGCTACTATCCACCCCCAGGAGCCTTAGCTCAATTTCTGCCACTGCTCGGAATGTTGCCAGTCAGCCATCTGGCTCTCTTTCTTCTTTTTGAGTCCCATCCTCCCTGCGTGGCTCCCATGAATGTGTGCACATGAATGAACTGATCAGCATTTCTCCTGTCTGTCTGTCTGTCTGTCTGTCTTGTCTATCAGTCTGTCTTGGCAGACTCAGTCTGAACCTTCAGAGGGAAAATATGAACTTCCCTCCAATGGCCGACCTCTGAGGCTGTGGGGCATCAGAACGACAGGGAAAACTGTCCAAAGGCTTTGCTGTGTCTTAAGAACAAATCTATAATCTCAAGCAAAATGTCTTTTTGTTGGTGATATTTTGGTCGGTGTTTTATTACAACAATCGAACCCAAACTAAAACAGACTGTCAGTTCAGGAATCGGTGACTTCTGTCTAAGCCATTGGCAAAATGACTCCAACAGAGCTCTGAGACCTGGGTCCCCACACAGGGGCCTGTCTTAACCGCCTATTCTAAAATCACCCCAGGGTCCTGGAGAGCAGAGGCCATACTTCAGATGCTCGAGGAGACTCCATGCCACCTTCCATTTCTTAACTGAAATGTCAACAACTAGTTAAGCAGGACTAGATAGAGCCCTGTCTGGGAGCATCAGACAGGCCAGAATGTTGAGCCCAAACAATTAGGGAATGTCATGGGGAGTTAACTGATACTGGCATTCTCTAGATCTCATTCTGCATCCTGAGCCAGCTGTGTGGTTTCAGGACAGTCACTTCTTAGGGCCTTGGTTTCCATGCCTGTAAAATGGGACACTAATGTTGTTTTTCAGAGAAATGAATGAAGTATACACATGTTGTGTCAGAAGCTGGGTGGAGACTTAATTCAACCCAGGCTTTCATTTTCCTCTCTTTCTGGCCTTTGCCCCCATCTTGCCCTGCTGCATGCCCCAGGCCGGGCTCTGAGAATCGAAAAGAAAGTCTCCCGCACAGACAGAGGTGCCAACACCACCCTCACCTCTGCCTGCACCAAGCAGCAGCCCTCTCGCTGACTGGCAGAGGAATCTCCCAGAGTCGTGTTTAAATGCGGGTTCCTGAAATGGTTCCTTGAACTACAGACTCACACTCCAGAGACCCAGTGATCTGTGTGTGAGATAAATACCCCACAGGGACCACACCATACCCGAGGAACATAAAACAAGCCGAGCTCTGGGTCCGGAGGAAAGCAGTGAAGGAGATGAGCATCCAGTCAGCAGGAGAAAGCCTATTACAGCACCATTTAATCCAAAGGAAAGGAGTCACACGGGTCTCATCCGATGCAGCACCACCCCAACCGTACATCGGCCTCACTGGCTCTCCACAGCCAGACTTTTCACCTTGGTGTCTGGATAACTGGGGTTTCCAGTCTGGATAACTGGGTCTCCAGGCACAGAGTCCTGTCTCTCAGATAAAGCAAACGGCTTCCCTTCATCCCCAATGCAGCTCTGCCTCCTCAGTGCAACATCTGTGGCCCCTCTCATCCGAGAGCAAAGCCCAAAGATGCTCCCACATGCCATATGCCTCTCTACCTAGCCTCGACCTGGCCCAGGACTTAACTGCAAACAGTGAATAATATCTCCAACAAGAAGAAAACTAGAGAGCTACTTCTAGGACCCTGAAGGGGAAAGTTTCTAAACTGACATTTGGGCTGTGAGAGAAACAGTGGTCCTTCCTACCCACCCCAGCCCCTGGACACAAGAGTCCAGAATCCCAGGCCTGTCTATGAAAACCGCACCAGTCTCGTACTGGAGCAAGCCCCCGCTACAGAGGAGGAGCACTGAGCACCACTGTTGATGGCCACGTCCTCTGGGCCACGAGAGATGGGGGAAGCCAGGTCCCCACAGACCAGGACATTGCCCTTGGAATGGCTCACACCTGTGGAGAGAGACACGCAGTCAGAAACCTCTTCCTAACCGAAGTTGGGTAACCCAAGATTATGGACTCTATTGGTACGCTGACGTCCCGGAGCATGGATCTTTTAAAACCTCAGCAAACTGCAATCTGCTGCTGCCCCCCTCCTCAGGGGAGCGTGCTCAGCCAATTCGGATGTTTCATTCTGCTTGGACCAATGTTGAGAGGTGTCCATGCAACAAATTAGCAAAAACTGTTGGGAAGAGCTGGAGGAATCATCTAGAAATATAGCTGTGGGAAGGGTGAGGGGCAGCTGGGTCAGAAGAGGGTACCCACATGGCGGCTGCCTGAACAGTGGAATCCTAAAGTCCAGGAGTTCCCAGCTTCCTGCAGACCCTGGTATGCCTAAGTCTATTATTTCTCCATATGATGGCCCACAAGGAACCATCTGTGAGAAACAGAAAGCTCAAGCTAGTTTGCAGAACTAATTGTATGAGGGTGGGGGCTCAGATGTTGCCACATTCATTAACTTAAACTTCATAGATATTTTAGACAGATCCAGGTACAGGGCAAATACTTGGTGCCATCATCTATCACTTCAGAGACTTCAAGTCTGTTCTCTCTCACCCAGTACTCCGTGGAAGGAGGCTCAGTTCCCAGTTAGAGGTAACCTAATAGACTATGGACACCCACGGGAGCCATATGCCCACACATCCAACTTACAGATGTTGACTGAGTCCAGACCTTTACACAACCTGAGGGGAGAGGAGAGAGCAGTGGTCAGAGACGACTTCCGCTGGTTTTGTGGTCTGCTCATGTCCTTTAGCTTAGCCAAGCAGGATGGGACCTGAGCAAGCCTCTCCCACCCCGTCTGGGACTCAGTTTCCCCATCTGTAAAATGAGTGACATCATCTCCCTTTGAACCTCCTCTACTTGGAGGATTCTGTCCCACCCAGGCACTGCTGTGTCCCTGAATGAAGACCTAAAGGGACACCCCTACTCACACCCAGAGCCCCGTCCTCACCGGCTCTCCTCTCCCTCCAACAGTTTCCGATAAGTGGCGATCTCCACATCCAGCCCCAGCTTGGAGTTCATCACCTCCTGGTACTCCTTGAGCAGGCAGGCCATGTCCTGCTTGGCCTTCTGCAGGGCAGCCTCCAGCTCAGCCAGCTTGCAGCGGGCATCGGTGAGGGCAGCCTCACCCTGCTGCTCTGCCTCAATTATGGCGGCCTCTAGCTTATGGCGCTGGGGACAGAGGAGAGAAGGAGTCGAGGGGGTACAGCCAATGGGGATTCCTGGTAGGTTGTCAATGACCTTGGTCACACTATTCCCTGCCGTTTAAATGGCCACCCTTAGCGGTGTGGTGGGGCACACCTTTAATCCCAGCACTTGGCAGGCAGTGTGCTGGGGTTACAGGTGGGTATCACCATGTCTCCACCTCTTTTCCTTCATTCTTTGGGTACCACTTTATTATAAAGTCCATTTGATTTCACATGCGAACCAGAAGAGGAAAAGAACGTTAACACTGGAATCGCTGTAGTAATAATTAGTAACATTACTGTATGTCTGTGTGCCAAGGTCCATTTACAAGGCACTTTCACAGACGCTATGTTATTTACCTTCAGGCTTACTCTACAGGCTTGTCAGAACATGCACTATTGTCTCCACTCTGTGGATGAAGAAACTGAGACTCAGAGAGGTCGTGACTTGTCTAGGTTTTCCACTGGGAGGGGCTAAGCACAGATTCCGGGGGTGGGGTGGGATCTGAACCTGTGACCCACAGAGTCCAGCATACTGAAGGAAGGGCCCATTTGTAACAGTTCCTAATAAGACACTCACTGGCAGTATTTCCCACTTCCTCCCCGAAGACAGCGCACCCCAATGCAAAGGAGCCGTGCTACGGTGGGCCCGTTCCCACATTTCTTGGTTCCTCTGTTATGAGTAATAAGGTGCCTGTGATACACTTTGCATCGTGGTTGAAAACAGCTGCACCAAAGGAGAGAGTGGAAACTGAGTCAGGAATGTGGGCAAAGTCAGCATTAGAGCATCACAAGCCAGAGGTTACATAGTCTTTTTCTTATTTTATGCAGGAAAATTAAACTAGAAACCTCTTCGCTGTATGTTCAAAAAATACAGCTCAAATGGACTAATGACCTAAGTGTGAGAGGCAGAGCTGTAAATCTAATAGCTGGGGGAAAAAAAAAACAGAGGACATCTCTAATGCCACAGAGCTCTCCTGCAAAGGCCCTTGAAGGAAGAGCCAACAGACTTGGCGGCCTTCAGACTGGAGATTTCTGTTCAGTAGCAGACGTCATCAAAGCAAGCAGACAGAGGCAGGCCGAGAGGAGACCAATGCATGGCAACGTGGGAAACCAAAGGGTTACAGGTGATGGAGTGACAAGGCAAAGCTACAGATCCCTAAGGAAAAAACAAGAATCTCAGTAGAAAAAATGGGGCAGATGAAAAACCCAGACGAGGACAGTCAAATGACGAGTAAGAATACAAGCAGACAGAACACATCACCGGTCCACCAGGGAAACGAAGCATCGATAATTCTATGGCAGTGGGCACCCATCAGATCCACAGAACTAGAAAGTGACCACAGAATGTGCTGGGACAACGCAGGAGTGTTGTCACAGGTGAAACCTAAGCCACGCCAGAGGGGGCAGCCATCCCGCAGACAGGAAGAACGCAGAGCCCAGCTTTGAAGTAGCAGGAGCCCCGGCTGTCTTGGCCTCCTGACCTGCTGCTTGGCGCTCTCCACCTCACAGCTCAGCCTCTGGATGATGCGGTTCAGCTCACTGACCTCTTCCTTGCCTTTGCGAAGATGCTCACCTTGCTGGGTCACCGTGATCCTCATCTCTTCACACTGTGATTTCGAGGCAAATGAGCAAACACTGGCTGGAGGGGATGGTGGGACGCCAGAGCAGAGTCCGACTGCCCAGCCCTGATTCTGCAGAGGTCCCACCTCCCTGCCCACTCTGCCTGGGGGGGTCTCTGGAATGCATGTGTGCCCAGCCCACGTGGGTGCCAGACTCAGGCTAAGCTCCTTTGTTCAGTGGGACAACATAGCCCTCTTCATACCTGGGTCTGGTACCAGGACTCAGCCTCTGCCCGGCTGCGGCTGGCGATATCATCATACTGAGCCTTGATCTCAGCCACGACGGTGTCCATGTCGAGCTCCCGGCTGTTGTCCATCTTCACCACCACTGAGGTTTCCGAGATCTGGGACTGGAGGTAGGTGATTTCCTGCAGGAGACACAACCCGTGGCGTCAGCCTCAATACTGCCTCTGATGGCAAGTCCAACAGTGGTGCCAACTCTGAAACCTTGGGAAGAACTCAAAACTACTAGTGACGCGGGACACTGAAAACATACAGCTTTTAGAGGAAAAGGTTGGAGTTAGGGCCGTGGTCCACGGTGGTGAGTAGAGAATTCCACCATCACCTGGCTCAGTAAGGCAGATGAGTATGTTTGCAGGACAACTATATTCGGGGCCAGAACTGCCCAGATTGGCAGGAGCCGTGAGTGCAAACGTGACCCAGCAGACAGGAGCCAGAGTTAGAGCCCCAGGTCCTCCAGTTGTGTGTTCACGTTACCCAGATGTGTGCACTCACGGTCAATCTCCACTTTACACTATGCTGAACGGAACCGGACTACCTTAGTCTCCCGAATCGCCCTAAAAGAGGGGTATGGCTCACTTCTGATTTGAAAAGGAGCCCTAGTGAGAAAAATCCCCTTTGGTCACGGAGGAGAAACGAAATGTAAGCAGAGTAAGGAAGGCAATACTACCCCCAAAGCCCTGGCACCAGAACAGGGCGCCGGTGAAGAAAACTCGGTGAGGAAACTCTGTTACCTCCTTGTACATGGACCGCAGGAAGGTCGTCTCCTCCCTCAGTGACTCTGTTGGCCTCTAGCTCTGCCTTGTGCAGGTAGGCACCGTCTGTGTCCTGGTGAGAGGGATGGGAGAGAGTGGGTGGGCATGTGCTTCGCCAGGCACTGAGTCTCTGCACTCTGCCGTGGCCGAGAGGCCATCTCCTAGTCACCTCTCTGTCTCTAGCCTGCCCCTGGCCAGCAGGCTATGTGTCTTCACCTCCAGGGCCCCTCTTCAATGTCTACCACTGACATTTCTCCCCTGGTTGACAGCCAGGGAGACCGGTTACTTGGGAAAAGGAAGTAGAAAAAAAGGCGTCTCTCATACATGCACTTCAACACCCGGGGCTTGCCGGAAGGAAAACAAGGTTTACAGCCCTGAGCCAGAGTCAGCAGCAGCTTCTCAGCCAAGCAGCCCAGAGAGCATAAGAGTGTGGCAGGCAGCAGAGCCCAAATAACTGCCTCTCCTGCCCGAGGCCAAGCTATGGAGCTCCACTCTATGGTTCCAGATGGAGGGGCCGGTAAGCACCAAAGAGCGCAAGCTCACATTTCCGCTCACCTGGCTGAAACAAAACTAGAGATCACAGGCAGCTTTATCCTGGTTTTCTTTATCCCACCCTCTTTTGTAGCATTGACTGACAGCCACACTTAGAAAATCACTAACAAGCAAAGCTCCAAACATCTCCCGTTTGGGATGATGGTAGGGGCCACGCCCACAGGAAAGGCCAGCGTGAATGTCAGCCGTAACTACTGACAGAGACTGACAGAAAGCCCGGCGGTGGCTTGAGATCTCGAGACTCCCCGCTGGACTAGTCCGGGTTGCTGTGTGGGGGCCACAATGGCTCCTGTGAGTCACCATCCAGTCAACGAGAGAGCCTCCCACCCACCACCGGTCACGGGGACACGACCAGGCACTGGCTCCAGTCCCCAGTCCCTGTGACTTCAGTCTCACCCCTCAGGAGGCCACTCACCTTCTTCAGTACCACAAACTCATTCTCAGCCACGCCCCTGAGGGCCAGTTCTTCCTCATACCTGGGGAGAGGGCACAGGGAAGGTTGGCCGGCATTAGCCCGAGCAGCAAACCTCCTTGGTTGTCCCTACTCTCTGTATGGGCCTGTGCTCGTCAGTTTTTGACATCTTGACCTAAATAGAGACACCTGAGAAGGGGGAACCTCAGCTAAGGCATTGCCTCCGTCAGATTGTCCCATGGACATGTCTGGGGAGGGGGGTGTTATCTTGATTGTTAATTGATGGGGGTGGGGAGATCACCCTGGGCAGTGCCACCCCTGGATGCATGGTCCTGGGTCCAAGGTAGCCTGGAAGCAACCAAGTAAACGACTTTCCTCCATGGTTTCTGCTTCAATCTCCTGTCTTGCCTTTCTTTGACAATGGACTGTAACCCACAAGTTCAAACAAACCCTCTCCTCCCCTTGTTTTTGGTCATAGTATTTATCACAGCGACAGTCAGCAAACTAGGTCAGTGCCTTCAAGAAAGGGGCTTGAGAAAGTGTGAAGAAATTATTGATAACAACCCCAGACTAACCAGAGCAGCACATCATTGCACCACAACATCCCGGTCATGCCCAAGAGAAGCCTGAGGGCGTAAATGGAGAGAAAACCAAAGCGACTGGAGACAGAGGGGCCTGCAAGGTGGTCTGCTAAACCTGCTCCTCCAAAGTCAGAGCCCAGGCCTAAAAGGCCCAGAAAAGATGAGAGAGAAGGTTCCCAAAGGTGAGAAGGGGGAAGCTGAGGCTGGCAAGGGTGGGAATAACCCTGAAGAAAAAACGGGGATTCCAAAACAGACAGAGCACAGAAAGCCGAAGGAGCTGGAAGTGCCAAGGGAAGTGTGCGTGTTTTACAACACTGTGCTTCTGGTGAGCGTACAATTTGGAATTCTATTTCTATCAAGTTTTATAAGATGTGGGATTTGTTTACTTTTAAACTCTGTGGCTAGCATGCAGAACACGTCATTGTTTCAGGGAGGAAGGAACATGCGTCACTAACACAATGTCTCTCAAGGTGGATTGGTCGGAGGAAAACGCCGTTCCTCTGACAGCGTTGAAATACTCCTGCAGTGGTTGAGATGAGAAATGTCTCCCCACCCCAGATCCCAGTATCTGAACACCTGGTTCCAGCTGTGGTGCTGTGGAGGGAAGTTTAAGCGGTATAGCCTTGCTGGAGTGGATTTTGAGGTCAGATAGTCTCACCCCTCTTCCAGCTCCCTCTCTCTGCGTCACACTTGCAGAAGGGTGTGTAGGGTGTCCACTTCCTGCTCTGGTCAACATGCCTACACTTGCTGCCAGGCTTCCCCCGCCATGATGGACTCTCATCCTCTGGAACCATAAGCCAAAATAAATTCTCTCTTCCATGAGTCACTTCTGGTCAAGATGTTCTCACAGAGGCAGAAAGGTAACTAATATAACTCCTCTGGGCTTCCAGGAGGGATTTCCTGAAATTGATGCACACAACCACCTTGGAATGCCTTGTGGTGTGAGAAAATTCTAATTTTGTTTTTTACATCCTCCTCTCCTGCCATCAGCATAGACTCAACTCCTTTAAATCCAGACATGTGGAGGCCTGAGCCCCTAAAATTGGTTCTATTTGTATGTTAGCATTTCTCGGAAGAGCAGTTATTTCATTTCTGAAAGACTGGGTACCTTCTGACTGATCATTCTACCATTTTCATTTCGCTTCCTGAAAGTCAAGGCAGGCTTGTGAACAGTCAACCATGTGCTGAATGTGAAATGTGAGCTGTCACTCAATGCTTCACCTCCTCACAGCCTCCAATGAAGACTTCATTGGCTCCTGCAGTAGCTCTCTGATCTTGGTAGACCTTACAAGAAAGGAGTTTGAAAGTTCTTGAATACTATTAATGATTGCCTGACCATGTCCTTCCTGAAGTACTGTGGTTGTATGGAAGTTGGCTTTCATTGATCTGGGCGTGGTTTGGTTTGGGGAAGAACGAGGAGGAGAGAAACATGAGGAGGGGGAGGGAGACAGAAGCTTGTCCTCTTTGGGTTTACATTTTCCACCCACGGATGCCTATGAAAAGGACACTGGACTCTGGTCCCAGCTTGAACTGATATCTCAACAACATCTAAGATAAGTCACTGAACCTCTGTGAGCCTGCACAGTGAGCAAAGCCAGAGACAGGGTGAGTGAAAGCGAGGAAGTCGCTTCCAGAGTCCTTCAGCTCTTAACATTACACAAACCATGACATTCTCCGAAATATTAAGACAGCTCCCCTGCAGCCTTTCCCTAACATCAATCCCTCACCCACCCAATACCCTAGGACTTGAATTCCTAAAGTAAGCCCAGTCCAGAGCATTTCCCTAGCCCTCTCCACCAGCCTGCCCCTTGCCCCACCTGTGACACCACCTCCTGGACCAGCATGGACCCAGCTAACAGGGGAGAACTCAGCCCCCAGAGCAGGGTTCCCATGACTTCTTCCTTACAGGGTAGTCCTGGGCTGCAGTTAACTCTCAGCTCTGTGATTACCAGCCCTCGCATGCCCAGCTGAGAGCTAGACCTGGCCACCTGCCTGTTGAAAGGTGTGTGAGTGTCTGGGGCACTCCAACAGGGAGAAAAGCCCCCTGCTGTAGCTCTTGAGATTGCAAAAGCTGGTCTTCCAACACCTGATTCCAGGAGAGTCCAGGTTAGAACAACCAGGACAAACTGATATCAAATCTCCTTTCATAAGGCTAACAATATTCAGTAGTACAGCATTTGCTACGTATGCGGGAGGCTTGCGTTTCACCCCTAGAACCATGCAGCAGCAGTAGTTCAGTAAAATCATCTTCCACTCTGTCCATATCCTCAAAGGAGAGAGGGGCAAATTCACAATGATCCAGTGAGCGTGACTGTTAAACATGTAAGACTAAAACAAAGGATTCACACTGACATTGAGCTGCGGAGCCCCGCAAAAAGAGAGCTTGGTGGTTTATTACAGAGTGACTAATAAGCCACATTCCTCGGATGCTTTAAAGGGCATCAGAGGGTCTCGGGATGCCTCCCCCAGAGCCTTTTCCTGCCCACTCCCACTGACGATGGTTGGCCCACCTGCCCTTCCGCCCTGGTGGCCTTGGGCCACCTCTTCTCTTGGTCTTCCCCTCCACCCCGTCACTCTGTGACCTCAAGAGCAGATTGTGCTCCTCTTGTACTGGGAGTTCTTCTCTCCAGACTTTCCCTGAGCCCTAGAATGGGTCTGGGGGACTAGGAGCTGGGCTAGACAGCAGCGCTAGGTGATGGCTGACTCTGACCCCCAGCAGCATCCCCACTCTCCACCTCCTGGACGGTGGCATGGCTTCCCCGACTCCCTGTAACTACCCGAGCCCGGTTATGTTAACCTCTTCTTGTAGCCCTCCATGGCCTCCTGCACACGGTTGAGCTCAGCAGCCAGCCTCCCGCTGTCAGCCTCCGTACACTGAGTCTCCCTCCTGAGCATCTCGATGTAGCCACTGAACAGCGGCTCCAGGTTGCTCTCGCAGCAGCGCTGGTTCTGGTAGAACTGCCACTTGGTCTCCAGCAGCTTGTTCTGCTGCTCCAGGAAGCGCACCTGCCATGGGAGTGAGAAGGGGAAAAGACTCAGGGGAAGCCTGGGGAGGGTGCCAGTTCCCCGGCAGCTCCCTGCCCTTTGGCTTGGCCCCTGCCCTGAAGCAACCTGTGACTTGTCAAAGGTCATAATCATACCTGAAGTGATTTCCCTGGCACCCATTACCCCTCCCAGAAAAAGCACACAGTTTACAGCCTTGTATTCATTCTCCAGAATGAACTATTTGCGGAAGACCAAGCGATGACTCCTCAAAGGTGTCTGCTCTCTAGTCCTTGGGACCTATCAGTGTGTAATGTTCCTAGCGAAGGGTCTTGTTATTAAAATTATGGTTGTGGAGCTGAAGACTAGGGGATCTTCTTGGATGACCAAGAAAAAAGGAAGGGAAGGGGGGAGAGGAAGGGAGGGAGCAAGGGAGGAATAAAAAGAGAAAAAGAGTTAAGCCGGCAGGCGAAAAAAGGGTGCCAAGGGGCTCTGTGTCTCTCGGGTCCTGAGTAAGCAGGGGCAGAGGATGCCTTGGGCAGAAGTCCTGAGGAGTCATTGACTCTCTCAGGATGTCCCCAGAAGGGGGTAGGGGGAAGGAGCCTAGCCCTTCTTGGTCCTGGCTCTGCGCTACATGTCATGTGACAGCATCTTCTCTGTGACAACTGTGTAGCTCTTATACCTTCCTGTGTGTGGCAGCTGAGATCTGGAAGTCGGGGTCACAGACACATGTGCAACTCACTGCATGTGTAAGGAGCAGCAAAAAGCCCTCCTGTTCTGTGTGGTGGCTTCACGTCCACAGTTATACTGGAGTCCCGTGGCAACATTTGCAAGCCAGGACTGGAGTTCAGCTGTGTTCTGCACGGTACAGGTGGCTGGTGGCAAGAGAGTCAGAGCCACAGCCGTCATCGGCTCCAAGTCTCTTGCCTGTTCTTAGGCTGGAACCCTAGGGAGGACCACACGAGCCCACCCCGATCGCTCACAGAGTGCTCCAGGACACCCACCTTGTCGATGAAGGCGGCAAACTTGCTGTTGAGACACTTGATCTGTTCCTTCTCCTCATGCTTCACGCACTGGGCATTGGGGTCGATCTCCAGGTTGAGGGGCGTGAGCAGGCTCTCATTGACAGAGACTGTGGTGATGCAGGGGGGTGTGGGCCCGCAAAGGCCCCCCGCTCGGTAAACAAAGCTGCTGCTCCCACTGTGCAGAGGCCATCTGTAACTCCCTGCAATCCGGGGGGACCCCACAGTACACAGGCTCCTGCTACTGAAGCTCCTGAGGTGCCTGTGGCCTGGCCCCCCAGGACTGCCCCCATGGCAGGCCGCTGCACTGACTCTGCTGTGAGTTCCCAGCTTGGGCACCAAAGCAGAGGAGGAGCTGAAGTTCCTGACCCCACAGCCAGAAGTGAGGAGGTAAGAACTGACGGCCATGTCTCTGCTGTATGGAACTGCTCTGGGGATGCAGGACTGGAGGACAAGGTCTCACATTGAGACCTGGTAGTGCCCCTGCCTTTTATCAGGCTGAGGAGGGGCCTCCTGACCACATGAAAGGCAGGAGAATGTCGTTAGTGGCACTAATGAGTGTGAGAATGCCGCTAGGCAGCCTGAAGGGAAGGGTGAAACTCATTTATAGGCATACAGGGAGACCCTGCAGCAGATTAAACCTGCCCCTGGCATTTCTACCAAGCCTCCAGTCTCCCTCCCGTCAGGAATCCTTAACCCCTCCTGGGCAGGCCCAGGCTTGACCACAATATTCCTGGGACTAAAGTGTCCTGTGTTCTCCTAGGGCTCTACACAGCCACCCTTCTCAGCAAGCATATGAGGAAGAACTTCGAATCTTTCCCTATGACCTCCATACCCCACACCCAACCCTGGAGTGTGACCACTACAATGTAGCTGTCCTCGAAGGCAGGAAACAGATCCATCTGCCTTCTCGTTCCTTGGCCACAAGCGTAACCATGTCCCCAGGAAACACTGCTGGTCTGAATGACTGAATCAGCTGGACTCATCATACGCCAAACCCGCAGCTGCCTCAAGAGGAAGTTTAACAAGATGGACATGCTGCCTCTGAGAAGACCTGATCCGGTGGGAACACCAGCCACGTGAGGGTGGCAAGCCCAAGGAGAACACAAAGTCGCAGCCTGCCACCCTACGGAAGGCCCCTCATAGCTCACTCACAGGGCAGGCAAGGCCCCACGTGGTCAGCTGCAGCAGCAGTAGAGAGACGTGGATTCCAAGGCACCTGGCGGAGGGAGATTTCTGGAGAAGTCATTTCAGAGTGTGGGGTGCATCAGAAAGATGAGGACCTCAGCCAGGGGCCGCTCCCTTCACTTTTTACCCAATCGGATAAGGCACCTTCTGTGTGAGACTCAGAGGAGCGTGGAGAGGGGGAGGGGCTGAGGAAAGCACCCGCCCGTGAAGGCCAGCTGGAACACGCCCTGGCTCTAATGATATAGGAATGGAAATAACCTCCTGTCAGAGGGCAGCCTGTGACAGGAAGGTCACAAGTTCAAGGCCTACTGGGCTACAGAGTGAGAGGCCAGCCTGGGCAACTCAGTAAGACCGTCTCAAAAAACAAACAAGTTGAGCATGGTGGCACACGCCTTTAACCCTAGCACCAGGGAGGCAAAAACAGATGGATATCTGAGTTCAAAGCCAGCCTGATCTACATAGTAAGATCCTTTTGCAATAGATAGATAGATAGATAGATAGATAGATAGATAGATAGATAGATAGATAGATAGATAGAAATAACTAAGAGCTGAGAACAAAGTTGAATGGTAGAGAAGCCTTGGGTTCCTTCCCCAGCACCACAAAATATTTAAAAGAATCTTCTGAAAGGCCCTGTCAGGAAAAGGTCTAGCAGCCTAAGGGGAAAAAAAAAGCCCAACACAGCAGGAGGTGACAGGAGCCTTTCTGCTCCCTGTCTTTATCCCTCTGTCTCTGTCTCTCTGTGTCTCTCTGTCTTTGTCTCTCTGTCTCTGTGTGGGTGTATCTCTCTCTGTTACTCTCTGTCTCATTCTTTCTCTCTCTCTCTCTCCCTCTCTTTCTCATACATACACACCCTCTACAGAGTGACGGAGTGCTCAGAGCATGGGCCTTAGAGACACAGAGGCAGTCAGCATGGACCGTGAAGGGACTGGCCTCTGTGTGCTCCCTCGGAGTGCACCAGGGAGCGCTGGAGGGCTTTGTGAAGCAAACAGACACAACCCAGCACGTTGTGAGACCTTGCTGATGGCTGTCTGGAGAGAGAGTAGGGGGCAGGGTCCCACAGGTCTTGCCAGGACCCCAGGAGAGAGCAGATGGGCTCTGGCCAGGGGAGCTCTGGGGGAAGGAGGGGCAGCCAGCTGTGGATAGGATCCAGAGGGACTGAATCGGGGGAGGAAGTGGGGAGAGGGGGTGGCTCCTTGCTTTCTTGGGGGCTAAACTGCTCCTCAAAAGGAGGAGAGGAGGAAGTCAGTAAGACAGATGCTAAGAGAGCCACAGACGCATGTCCTGGGTTTATGGACTTGTGTGACCTTCTATCAGTCCCCTCACTGGCCCCCGACTTTCTGAACAGTGCATGTGAAAGTCACGCCACATGACCTTCTTCGCAAGGAAGCTGGGTGACCTTCTTTGTGTCAAACTCCTTTCGAGCCTGTGATTCCACACGGTGTCCTCTGCAGACAGAGTGTGATCACACGGTCCATGATGACAGGCAGGCAGGCAGGCAGGCACAGGCACCTCACTGTGAACCTCAGAACCTCTTCCCAGAGTCTTGACACCTGTCTCCCAGCCCAGATGTGGCCAAGCCTAATAAGACGGCATCCCTACTCCCAAACTGTGCAAACTCCCATTCTGAGAAACCCCACGTAGCTGGGGTGAATGAGAGTGAAGGGAGTGAGGTCTGGGGGAGAGATGGGCAGGGAGAAGACCGTGATGAAAAAGGCTAGGATCAGTTTTCCCAGGAAGGTAAGTCAGCTAGATGCCAATCTCCCGCTGTCACTGTCAAAGCCCAGTAGCTGCCCGCTTTGTTCGTTTGCTTTGCAGGGCTGAAGACGGAGCCCCAGGCCTCCCATACACTAGCCAAGTTCTCTACCACCCCAGCTACACCCCTCAACACTTGGTTTTTTCATTTTCCATTTTGAGAGTGTTACCACATTACCTAGGTAAGCCTTGAACTAGTGATCTTCCTGCCTCAGCCTGCCAGGACCAACCATCTACACACTCCCAGTCCTGAGTACAGAGGATGGAGGGGCAAAACTGTGGTGGTATTGTGTTCCCCAAAATATTGTGCATGCTAATAAACTTATCTGGGGTTAGAGAACAGGAGAGCCACAATATTAAACATAGAGGATAGGCAATGGTAACACACGCCTTTAATCCTAGCATTCCAGAGGCAGAAATCCCTCTGGATCTCTGTGAGTTTAAGGCCACACTGGAAACAGCCAGGCATGGTGACACACGCCTTTAATCCCAGGGAGTAATGGCAGAAAGATATATAAGGTGTGAAGACCAGAAACTAGAAGCTTTTAGCTGGTTAAGCTTTCAGCTTTGGAGCAGCAGTTCAGCTGAGATCCATTCTGGATGAGGACTCAGGGGTTTCCAGTCTGAGGAAACAGGATCAGCTGAGGAATTGGCAAGGTGAGGTGGCTGTGGCTTGTTCTGCTTCTCTGATCTTCCAGCATTCACCCCAACAACTGGCCTCAGGTTTGATTTTATTAATAAGACCTTCTAAGATTCCTGCTACACAAAACAAAACGGTCCTTTTCCTTGCGTGCCTTTTTACGGCCCAGACTGAAACGAGCCGGCCCTCGGGTGACTCCCCACACTACCCACTTCCCAGGTTTGGAGATCAGAGACCCCTCTTGTCCCCCAGGAGCCAAGGACTCCATGTTTAGTTTGTTTGGGTGTGTGTTGCTGTTGTTTGTTTTTTGACACAGGATCTAATGTAGCCCAGGCTAGCCTTCCACTCACTATGCCCCAGAGCCTTATCCTGAACTCCTGATCCTCCTGCCTCTGTGTCTTGAGTGCTAGGATTACAACACGCCATTGTTCCCTGTTTGTTTGTGCTTTTATACATTGAAAGCACTTCCTTAGTGTGCCGTTGACACTATACATATTTATAATAATAATTTAATAATTTTATTTAATATTTAATATTTATTTAACATTATTTTATATTTATCATTCTATATTATATTCAATGGTATATTTAATGTTTAATATTAATTGATATTTATTAATTTTATTTAGTATTATAGTATGATGTTATGGTGTTTAATTATATTTAATTTATTTAATATTATTTAATAATGAAAACTGTGCATATTTAATAATAATAACTATACATATTTAATGTACACAAAGTGGAAGTTTAGGCATGAGTTCACAGAGTCTGGAGCAAGTCCCAGGAGGCTGTTGGGCAGCAGGGGCCCAGCAGCCCCGAAGTCAAAGGGACTGAGCTCTTCGAGCAATGATCCTGACTGCAAACTTGAAAAACAGTTAAAGAGGAGAAAGCAAGTTGTTCTGGAAAATCCTGTAAAGAGGCAAAAGCCTGGAGGAACTTCTAGAGCCCAGGTTCTATGTTCCCATGTGGAAGCAGCTTTGTGGAGTTTTTATAGTGACAGAACAAAGGAAGTTATTTATCAAGGCATTTAAAAATACATCAGGCACTGGGCGGCAGTGGCGCACGCCTTTAATCCCAGCACCCAGGAGGGAGAGCCAGGCGGATCTCTGTAAGTTTGAGGCCAGCTTGGTCTATAGAGTGAGCTCCAGGACAGACACCAAAACTATACAGGGAAACCCTGTCTCGAAAAACCAAAACAAAAATAAATAAGTAAACAAACAGAAAATAAAAAAATAAATAAATCAGTGGGAACATGTTTTGGTCACCTACAGCAGGCAGAGGAATCTCAACTATAGGCCTCAGATCCTATCTGCCAGCATTCGCCCTTCCATTGGTGGAGAATAGTGTTTTGTTAAGTTAATACATCCAAATAAACATCCTGTTTATCAAGATGTTAGGTCTGATATGAGGTAGGTGAGGAATGAGTCTTTAGAGGCTAAAAGGAATTTATAATTAGGCTATCAGATAAACAACAAACAACATTTCAAAAAGCCATTGAAGTTTTTATCAGTCTATCAGCCTATGCAAACAACTTCTCTCCAGGAATTCATACAAAGTGGGGGAAGGGATAAACTACGAACCTGGGTGGACACACACATTTCACAGGGTAAGTAAAACACAGCCAGGAAACTCAAGGATCCAGAGACAACACCGGAGTCTACTGCACGCCCTCGTGAGCAGAAAGCCTTTGGGTAGTGGGAAACCAAAGTGGTGAGACAGCCAAAGTGCCAGAAAGAGATCTGGAATCCTACTTTTTTTTTTTTTGGTTTTTCGAGACAGGGTTTCTCTGTGTAGCTTTGCGCCTTTCCTGGAGCTCACTTGGTAGCCCAGGCTGGCCTCGAACTCACAGAGATCCGCCTGGCTCTGCCTCCCGAGTGCTGGGATTAAAGGCGTGCGCCACCAACGCCCGGCTTGGAATCCTACTTTTATAAGGTGTGTTGGTGTGAATGAGCATGGCCCCCATAGGCTCATGTATTTGAATGCTTGGCCCCAGTTGGTGGAACTGTTTGGAAAGGATTAAGGGCCTCGTTGGAGGAGGTGTGTCACTGTGGGTGGGCTTTGAGATTTCAAAAGACCATGCCCAGTCCAGTCCAGTTCTCTTTCTCTGTCTCCTGCCTGAGGGGTCAGTGTGTAAGCTCTCGGCAACAGCTCCAGCACCATGCCTGCCTGCACGCTGCCATGCTCCCCACCATGATGGTCATGGACTCAACCTCTGAAACTGTAAGCAAGCCCCCAATTAAATACTTCCTCTTGTAAGTTGTCTTGGACATGGTGTTTCATCACAGCAACAGAACAGTAGTAACAAGACAGTATATTTGACAGTATACTGACCACAAGGTCCTCTAGAGAAGGTACAAATGACTCTGCCTGCCTCCTATCTCTATGGAGTGGTGCACACAGGGGCTCCTGGGGTAGCTCAGAGGCAAAATGTCCTAACCCGTGAGACGCTGC